ACCACACCCACTGGAAGCAAAGCCCAAACCAAATTCACTGCCATTGACTTGACTTGACTCATAGCGACCCCTCCTTGGGTTTCCAAGGCTGTCAATCTTTACAGAAGCAAAGCCCAAACCACACCTACTGGAAGCAAAGCCCAAACCACACCCACTGCATGGAGTCCCTTCTGACTCACAGCGCCCCTAGAGGACAGAGTGGAACTGCCCCAGATAGTTTCCAAGGCTGTCGTCTTTACAGAAGCACACTGCCACGTCTTTCTTCCACAGAGTGGCTGGTGGGTTTGAACCATCAATGTTTCAATTAACAGCTGAGTGCTTAACCACTGCACCACTAAGGCTGTGAAAGAATTCCAGCAAAATCTGACACAAGGCATTTTCTTCTGAAGTAGTAATTTTAACTGATTCAGGACATAAATGTAAGGAGAAAGAGCTCGATACTTGTTTTTTCAACTTTAGAAAATTAGTAGAGAAATTTGGCTGAGGGCAGTCTCTTCACAGAAACAACTCTGACATGTATCTAGTGATAGTCATTCTCATTAAAGCTGAAAATATCTTCTAGTTATTTGTTGAGTAATTTTGTATTTGAGATTTCTGACCTTCAGATTTTTATAGAATTAGCATCACCTGGATGTTGGTAGGGAGCTCTGGTGGCATAGTGCCTAAGGCCTTTGACTACTAACCAGAAGGCTGGCAGTTCAAACCCACCAGCCAGTCCTCGGAAGGAAGGTTGGGCAATCTACTCCTGTAGTGTTACCACCTCGGAAACCCAAGGAGGGGTTGCTATGAGTCGGATCCTATTCAACAGCAGTGCGTTTAGTTCCCTGTGGCCTTCCCTCCCATGCACTCCTGCCCCCTGAGCTGTCTCCCTGTGCATACACAGCCCTTCTATTCTCCCATGATTGTTCTCTCCAAGGAGTCTATCTGCCTAATGTAAGTGTTCAAAAGCTGTAATCTTTATGGGAAGAGGTAACTATGGGGAGGAAGTGGGAAGAGAGCTGTTACATTGTAGGGCATTGCAGTCAATGTCACAAGACAAAATGCGTATGAACTCTTGTATGAAAAATGAATTTGCTCTGTAAACTTTCACTCAAATCACAATAAAAATGACAAAAAGCCAAACTCACTGCCATCGAGTCAATTCAACTCATAGCAACCCCTCCTTGGGTTTCTGAAGTGGTATCTCTATGGAAGTAGATTGGCCAACCTTCCTTCTGAGGAGTGGCTGGTGGGTTTGAACCACCAGCCTTCTGGTTAGCAGTCAAATGCCTTAGGCACTAGGCCACCAGAGCTCCAAAAAGAAATAACAACAACAACAACAACAAAAATTCTAGGAAAAAAAAAAGACTTTCTGGAGCCATGGAGGCTGGATGAACCCCTGAAACTATTGCCCTTAAACCACAACCAAAAATATTCCCTGTTATCTTCTTTAAACCAAACAACAGTTGCTTAAGGAGTAAAGAACGTGTGCTTTGAGCCCTGTGCTCTTTCAAAGATCAAATGGACAACGGCAACTTGAACGTCTGATGGAAGGTTAGGGGGCATTGAATTTGTTATGCTCATGGGGGAGAAACAACCAGAAAACGGGGGTTGAGAATGGCCGCACACTTCAAAGAACGTCATTAATGTCTCTGAATCGGACATGTGAAACTCCAAATGAACCACACTTGATGGCGGGAAAACGTTGAATTGGTATATGTTCCACCATGTCTGTTTTCAACCACGAAAAATAAAATAAACATGTGTATCTTTTTCACAGTAGCTAAAAGTGCTTTGGTGCGAAGTTAACTACCTCCCGGGAGACCTATGACTTTGGCCTGCAATAAGCTACCTGTGTCACAACGTCCCTTGCAGTAAAAAGAACCCTACTTCTCCATTTTCCCTTGTTCTCAATCCAGTGAGGGCTGCTGGGACGTACATTTTAACAGGATCGCCGGACACATCTTTAAGCCAAGCGTCTTCATAGCACATCGATTTGGTTGAACCCCAAGATAAAAGTCATCAAAAAACAGAAATGAGTAATACGGACTTAAAAGAGGAAAGGAACAGGAACGTGCTCCTAAATTGAGAATGAAACTTCAGACTTATAGCCACTGTCCTGAAAATCAGTTCAGAATATGTACTTGACCTTAAAGAAACAAACATAATGAACTGCTATATGGAGAGTGAATTTGCTCTGTAAATTTTCAACCAAATCACAATTAAAAAATGAGTAAATAAATAAAAAGAAACAAACATAAATGCTTTATACACATCAGTCACAGAGATGCCCCCCAAAACTTCAGCCAAGGGGCCTGTTACCCCGCATAGGCCATCTGGGTGCCGTTTAGTACACTGTCCTGGAAAAGATAATGCCACCTGTAACCACTGCTTACAATGGCGCTTCCTGAAATCGGGAGAAATAGAAACACCATATGATCCAGCACTCTGATCCCTACATATACACCCCAGAGAAGTAAGAGCCCAGAGGAGAAGAGACAGATATACCCCCATGTTCATGGCAGCACCATTCACAATAGCAAAGAGACAGCGTGGTGGTTAAGCTGTGTGTCAACTTGGCTGGGCCTGATGTTGAATGGCTAGCCTGGTGGTGCAGTGGGTAAGGCAAATGCCTGCTGACCAGAAGGTCAGCAGTTCAAACCCACCAGCTGTTCCACATAAGGAAGACGGGGCAATCTACTTCTGTAAAGATTTACAACCTTGGAAACCCAATGGGGTCGTTATGAGTCAGAACTGACTTGGTGGCAGTGAGTTTGGTTTTTTGGTTTTAGGCAGCTGGATGTGGTTATCCTCCATGATGAGATCAGTAATTGAGTCCACGGTGGAACCTGCCGGAGCAGCTGAGTGGCTGCCTCAGGGATGCAGTTCCTTCCAGTTTAAGAAGACAGCCTTGGGAAAGGCCTCTGAGCTTTTATGCATGTTTGGACCCTGCACGTAGCTGAGTCTTCACTCAGCAGCCTGCCATGCTAACTCTGCCGATCTTGGGACTGTTAATGGACTTGAACTAGTGGCCTGCTGTGTTGTTTGATAATCTTCTGTCATTGTACTTGTTGGCCTCGGATTTGTCAGCCTCAGCAGCCAGCAGCTGCTAGAGTTAGGAGAAGCCTCCAGCTCCAGTGGGCCGGGAGCAGGAGGCAGAGCTGAAGCCCAAGGTCGAGGGGCCTTCACCCTGCCCCTAGAGCTGGCACTTTGAACTTGGACGTCTAGCCTCCTAACCTCTAAGAGAATAAACCACTGTTTGTTAAAGCCACCGCCTGTGATATTTCTCTTAGAGCAGTACTAGAGAAGCAAAACAGATTGAAACAACCTAAGTGACCACCAACAGATAAACAGACTCGTACATGTACACAACGGAACACTTGTTGTTATTTGCCGTCGAGTCGGCCGACTCATAGCGACCCCTCCTTGGGTTTCCAAGGCTGTCAATCTTCACAGAAGCAAAGCCCAAACCAAATTCACTGCCATTGACTTGACTTGACCCATAGGGACGCCTCCTTGGCTTTCCGAGGCAGTATCTCTACGGAAGTAGGATTGTCCAACCTTCCTTCTGAGAACACTACCCAACATTAAAGAATAACAATATGCATGATCCTTGGAGGGCAACTGCGCTGAGTGAAATCAGTCAATCACAAAGGGACAAACACTGTATGTGACAGCTATCATAAAAACTCGAGAAAATATTTATAAGCACAAAGAACCATTCTCTGATGCTTATCACAGATGGGAGTAGGAGGGAGGGAAAATCACTAACTAAATTAAAAAACAAACAAACAAAAAAACAACGCACCGCCATCGAGTCGATTTTGACTCATGGAGACCCCCTTTGGGTTTCCGAGGTGGTAAATCTTTACGGAAGTAGATTGCCCAGTCTTCCCTCCACAGAGCAGCTGATGGGTTTGAACCACCAACCTTCTGGTTGGCAGTCAAATGCCTTAGGCACTGCACCACCAGAGTTCCTTAAATGACTAAATTGTAGATAGATATTAACTTAGGTGACGGGAAAGACAACAAACAATATGGAGGAAATCAACACAGGATGACTAAGGCAAGGGAAGATACTGAGAGATCTGAAAGACTAACAGGTAACATCAGTAAATAACAACCAATAATTTATGGATGGATCTGTAGGTAGATATGTAAGGTGAATAGGTGTGGATGGCGTAGCGGAGTACACCCATGAACGCAGGTAAGTTTGGCAGTTGTTGTTGTTGTTGTTGTTATGTGCTGTCAAGTTGGACCCGACTCATAGCGACCCCTCCTTGGGTTTCCGAGGCTGTCAGTCTTCACAGAAGCAAAGCCCAAACCACACCCACTGGAAGCAAAGCCCAAACCAAATTCACTGCCATTGACTTGACTTGACTCATAGCGACCCCTCCTTGGGTTTCCAAGGTGGTATCACTATGGAAGTAGATTGCCCAGTCTTCCTTCCGCGGAGTGGCTGGTGGGTTTGAACTGCCTGCCTTCTGGTTAGCAGTCAGATGCCTTAGGCACTACGCTACCACAGCTCCTAATTAAAATATAAGACACTTGAAAAATCTCAAATGCTCTTTTTACTTCTTTTGCTTTGCATTTTGCAACACACTCACTGCTTTCTTAGGCCCCAACTATGTTTTTAGATCCCATTTGGGGTAAGTATTATAACAGACATGGACAGAAACTTGAAATTCCAAACAAACCACATTTTATGGAATAAACTGTTGCTGTCGTGGGCTTCCGTCCAGTCAGCCCCTGACCCAAAGTCATCCCATGAACAAGGGACCAGAACAGTGCCCCGTCCTGCGTCATCCCCGTGATTGGCTGCAGATCACAGTGTTGGGATCCATAGGTTCTCATTGGCTGCCGTTCAGAAGTAGATCACCAGGCCTTTCTTCCTCATCTGTCCGAGTCGGGAAGTTCCACTGAACCATGTTCAGCGTCCTAGCAACAGCAAGCCTCCACTGACGAAGGATAGTAATTATTCAGGACACACCCTGGCTGGGAATTGAACCCAGGTCTCCCGCATGGAAGGTGAGAATTTAACCACTCAGCCACCACTGCCTCCATATGGCAATTAAACCAGAACAAACCCAACCCACTGCCATCGCGTCAATTCTGACTCACACCCACCCTGTAGGACAGAGAACTGCCCCATAGACTTTCCAAGGCTGTAAATCTTTACTAAAGCAGCCTGCCACATCTTTCTCCTGTGGGGTGGCTGGTGGGTTCAAACTGCCAACCTACCGGTGGTTAGCAGCCAAATATCTTAACCACTATTCCACCAGAGCTTCTTGGCAACCCAACGTTGCCCCAAAGTTCCTCAGGATTGTCCATCCCCTTTCTTACCTGTTCTGTAAATCAAAGTTTGGCTGGCAGTTTAGGGAGCTGTGCTTGAATATCCACAGACACGAAATGTTCCCCGGGATGCTGACCATCACTTGCAGTGTGATGGAGGCAGAATCGTCGACTTCTACCGTGGCTGCTTCATAGATGGGCTCTGCGCTCTGGGGCCTCGGGGAGCACCCAAGGTCTTCTGTTGATCTTGACACCTACAATGACGATAACATGACGTCAAGAGGCTGCAAGTGCATCGCTAAGGCATAGTCTTTTTCACTGGCACCATGATCAAACATTCTCATACACTGCTCCCGATACCCATGCACGTCATAAGCCCGTGAGGACATATCACTAACTGAAAATAATGTTGTTGTTGTAATGTGCCGCTGAGTCAGACCAACTCATAGCGACCCCTCCTTGTGTTTCCGTGGCGGTATCACTACGGAAGTAGATTGCCCAGCCTTCCTTTCAAGGAGTGGCTGGTGGGTTTGAACAGCCAGCCTTCTGGTTAGCAGTCAAGTGCTTTAGGTACTATGCTACCAGACCTCCTCCTACTGAAAATAATATTAACTATGTTGTTGTTTGTTGTTGTTATGTGCCGTTGAGTCGGACCCGACTCATAGTGACCCCTCCTTGGGTTTGAGGCAGTATCTCTACAGAAGTAGATTGCCCCATCTTCCTTCCTAGGAGTGGCTGGTGGGTTTGAACCGCCAACCTTCTGGTTAGCAGTCAAGTGCCTTAGCCACTATGCTACCAGAGCTCCCAGTATTAACTATAATTCTTTAAAAAGAAGACAAATAACTTTAGATGACACTTTTTAAAATGTTTCACAGACATTAACTGTAGGATTCACAATAAACCAAACTAATTGCCATCAAGTTGATTCCAACTCACAGTGCCCCTAGAGGACAGAATGGAACTGTCCCATAGAGTTTTCAAGGCTATCAGTCTTTACGGAAGCAAAGCCCAAACCAAACCCACTGCCATGGAGTCGATTCTGCCTCACAGCGCCCCTAGAGGACAGAGTGGAACTGCCCACAGGGTTTCCTAGGCTGTCAATCTTCACAGAAGCAAAGCCCAAACCACACCCACTGCTGTGGAGTCGATTCTGACTCACAGCGCCCCTAGAGGACAGAGTGGAACTGCACCATAGGGTTTCCAAGGCTGTCAATCTTCACAGAAGCAAAGCCCAAACCACACCCACTGCTATGGAGTCGATTCTGACTCACAGCACCCCTAGAGGACAGAATGGCACTGCATCACAGGGTTTCCTAGGCTGTCAATCTTTACAGGAGCCACATCTTTCTCCCACGGAGCCGCTGGTGGTTTCCAGCTGCCAGTGCTTTGGTTGGTAGCTGAGTGCTTTAACCATTGGGCCACCAGGACTCCTAGCCATAGTGAAAAGGGGTGGGAAAGAAAGATCAAATCTAAGCGACTTTGGAATATAGTTCTTGGGATCCTGTAAGGCTAACAACAAATGGAACTGTACACAAATACTGTACTCTAGTTAGAACACCTGTGTCTTACTGGGGTGTGGGCTGGCAATCCCGAAACTAGTTTATGTGAATATCAGAATTGGATAAATGAGGAAATAAATTCTAGAAAGTGAGAGCCAGGTTTCTGAATGTCAGAGAAAGAAGCACAAAGAAGGAAAAGGGGAAACTAGAATGAACCTCGTGGTGCTGTACTGAGATCAGAGTAATCAGTATAATCTCGCGGTTGCCCAGCAAGAGGTGTGTATACACACAGCACCACCAAGTCCCTGGGTGGTAATCAAAGGGTTGGAGGTTTGAGTCCATCCCGAGGTGAAAAGAAAAAAACAAAGGTTACTGCTGTCGAATTGATCCCAACTTATAGCACCCCCTCCTTGGGTGTCTGAGGCAGTATCACTATGGAAGTAGATTGCCCCATCTTCCTTCCGAGGAGTGGCTGGTGGGTTTGAACCTCCAGCCTTCTGGTTAGCAGTCATGTGCCTTAGGCACAATGCCACCAGAGCTACTTTAGAGGTGTGAGCTACTCCTGAAAAATCAGCCATTGGAAATCTTATGAAACATGATTCTACTCTGACCCACAGGGGCTGCCATAAGTTGGAATCGATTCCACAGCATTTGTTTGTTTTTTTATAGATACGGGTATTGTTCTGGTTACCTGGTGCCACTCTGATAAGACATATACCACAAATGGGACGGCCTTAACAAACAGGAGTTTATTCTTACAATTTGGAGGCTTTAAGTCCAAGTTCAAAGTGCCAGGCTCTAGGGGCTGGGTGAAAGCCCCTCAACCTTGGGGTCCAGCTCTGCCTCCTGCTCCCGGCCCACTGGAGCTAGAGGCGTTTCTTCACTCAGACAGCTGCTGGCTGCTGAGACTGACAAGCCCCAAGGTTGACAAGTCAAAAGGCACAGTCCTGATGTTACCAAACCACAGGGCAGGCCATTAACTTTAGTCCATTGTAAGTCCCAAGGTCGGCAGAGCATGGCAGGCTGCTGAGCAACGACACGGCTCCATGCAGGGTCCAAGCGTGCCATAGGCTAGAGACCATCCCCAAGGCTTCTCCTCATATACAGGAAGCAGACCACATCCCTAAGGCAGCTACTCAGCTGCTCCAATAGATTCCACCATGGAGTTGACTACCAGTCTCATCATGGGAAATAACGACATCCAGCTGCCCAGCCACTCAACCAGGCCCAGCCAAGTTGACACACAAACTTCATCACCACAGACACAAAAGGACTCCTACTGTACGATCCCACCTGTATGTGATGTCTAGAATATGTCCATACACGCAGATAAAATTTCATACGCGGTTACCAAGGGACGGGCGAGGGGAAGTGGGGGTCCCTGCTTCAGGGCACTGAGATTCCGTCTGGAGCTGTGAAAGACTTTTGGAAACAGGAAGTGGCGACGGTTGCACAACACGCTGCATGTAATTAATGTCACTGAATGTACATGTGAAAAATGGTTCAAACTGTAAACTTCTTGTTATATATGGTTTACAATAAAATGAAAAAAAAAATCAAGGGCAAAAATAAATACATGGTGGGTTCATTTTTCCTGATGTTTCTCAGGACCGTGAACCAAGGGTGTAAATTCTGTTTAGAAGGAATTTGAGATTAAATGCAGCTGAAGTTTCTGGGGGAACAAAGGGGTACGTGTACTTGTAATTCATCTGGTGAGGACAGCGGACCCCGGAGCTGTGGTGGAGCGTCTTCCTGTGCGCACTATAGTTACAAGAAGAAAACCACCAAGCCTCACGTGCCACCTCCAGGAGGCATCACAGTTGGCTCTCGCCCCCCAAGGGCTCTGTGATTATAGGTTCAACCAACTGCATATGAAGATACTCAGATTAAAAAAAAAGGGGAGGTGTGCTGAAGGATATCGTGCTTGGTAAAGTGGAAGGTCAACGAGAAAGCGGAAGGCCCTCATTAAGATGGACTGACACAGTGGCTACAAAGATGGGCTCAGGTATCGCAAGGTTTGTGGGGCTGGCACACGACAGGGCAGTGTTTCGTTCTGTTGAACACGGGGTCACTATGAGTGGGAGCCAACTTGATGGCACCTAACAACAACAATAGAAAGCAATGAAAGAAGGGCTGTGTATGCACAGGGAGACAGCTCAGGGGGCTGGAGTGCATGGAGGGTTGGACACTGGGAAGAGGTAACTATGGGGAGGAAGTGGGAGGGGAGCTGTTGCATTGTGGGAAATTGCGGTCAATGTCATGAGACAAAGTGTGTGTGAACTGCTGTATGGAAAGTGAATTTGCTCTGTAAATCTTCACCCAAATCACAATAAATAAATAAATAAAAAGCAATGAGGTGCTCAAAATCCCTCTATGGCTAAGCAGGAGTGTACAATGCTATTTTCATAGCAATTACATTGGATTAGGTATTGGAAGTAATCTAGAGAACAATATTATTAATATCACACGCAGGGAAAATCGTGCTGAAGATAATTCAAAAATGGTTGCTGCAGTATATTGACAGAGAACTTTCAGAAATTCAAGCTGGACTCAGAAGAGGATGTGGAATGAGGGATATCACTGCTGATGTCAGATGGATCTTGGCTGAAAGCAAAGAATACCAGAGAGATGTTCACTTGTGTCTCACTGACTATGTCAAAGCATTCAACTGTGTGGACCATCACAAAGGATGGATAACACTGAGAAGAATGGGAATTCCAGAACACTTAACTGTACTCATGAGGAACATGTACATAGACCAGGAGGCTGTCTTTAGAACAGAACAAGGGATACTTCATGGTTTAAAATCATCAAGGGAGTGTGTCAGGGTTGTATCCTTTCACCAAATTTATTCAATCTGTATGCCAAGCAAATAATCCGAGGAACTGGATTATATGAAGACGAATGCGCCATCAGGATTGGAGGAAGATTCATTAACAACCTGCTATATGCAGATGACAGGAGCTCTGGTAGCATAGTGGCTAAAGCACTTGACTGCTAAACAGAAGGCTGGCGGTTCAAACCCACCAGCCACTCCTCGGAAGGAAGGTTGCGCAATCTACTTCCATAGTGATACTGCCTGGAAAACTCAAGGAGGGGTCGCTGTGAGTCAAGTCAAGTCAATGGCAGTGAATTTGGTTTGGGCTTTGCTTCCAGTAGGTGTGGTTTGGGCTTTGCTTCTGTGAAGATTGACAGCCTTGGAGACCCAAGGAGGGGTCACTATGAGTCAGGGCCGACTCGACGGCACATAACAACAACAACAACAACAATATGCAGATGACACAGCCTTGATTGGTGAAAGGAAAGATGACTTGAAGCACTTACTGATGAAGATTAAAGACTACAGCCTTCAGTATGGATTACACCTCAACATAAAGAAAACAAAAATCCTCACAAGTGGACCAATAAGCAGCATCACGAAAAATGGAGAAACCACTGAAGTGGTCAAAGATTTCATATTTCTTGGATCCACAGTCAATACCAATGGAAGCTGTAGTCAAGAAATCAGATGATGTATTTTGGGCAAATCTAATGCAAAAGACCTCTTTCAAGTGCTGAAGAGCAAAGATGTCTCTTTGAAGAGTAAGGTGTGTCTTCTCCAAGCCATGGTGTTTTCAGTAGCCTCATATACAGGTGAGAGCTGGACAATGAATTAGGAAGACCAAAGACGAGTTGATGCTTTTGAGTTGTGGTGCTGGTGAAGAATACTGAAAGTCCCATGGACCGCCAGAAGAACTAACAGATCTGTCCTGGAG